TTTTTTCAGTGCATATGGAGTTTTCAAATTGGCCACTTTATCGCTTATGCGATTCATCTTTATCGCTTCTAGCTCGCCATTTCCTCGCTGCACAGTGCGAAGCGACATTGCTCAGGCTGTGCATTCGGACAGATGGCTCCTGACTATCTGCCATCTAGACCTGACGAAGACGCTTTCCAGCATAATTCAGAAGTTGTACAGTTTTCGTCGTTCACTAAACAGGAGGAATCTATTGCACACATTGCCTCACTATCGTGCAGTGAGGACGGGGAGGAAGGTAGGTCCTTTTGAATTGTTAATCCATCCTTGTAAACACTTATATTAAGAGCGCATTTGTCATGAGTACAATGAGGAATTGGAGAACGATGCTTTCCGAGAACTTGAGGCTGGTTTGAATGACCAGAAATATCAGGTAAAAGAGGTCCCACCGCAGCTTACTGCGCTTCGATGTGCTGGAATCGGTTCGCCGAAAAAGGTGATCACGTAATCATTATCCCTTTTCCATAAACTTGATGTGTCTTCAGGTTTGGGGCCTTCTCTGCCGCAAAGACGAGCTTATACGCCCAAGTCAGCATCTACTCGACAATCATCCAGATTTAGCACCCCGAACTCGGGCTGTTCTTGTTGATTGGATGATGGAGGTTAGGGTTCTTCAAAATTCAATCTATACAGAATATCTGAAATCGCAATCGGTAGTTGGTGGGAGACGTGGCTAGTTCCACGTTTCGCGCTTGAACTCCATTCAGTGCCCTTTTCTGCGCCAAATTGAGGTACAACATTCAAATGTTGTACACGTATGTCGTACTCATGAACATTGATTGGACTATTGTTGTGTTATGGAATTGCGCCGTTTTTAATATCGGCTTTGTTTAATCCTGATGTCCCTACCATATGTACAGTAGATTTGCGGGAAAAGCAGTGACTGTAATACTTAAATGAAATCATTTCGCTGCAAATTTTTAAGCTATCGTAAAAATTTTCTTTAAGGTCTGTGGGAGCGAGAAACAACACCGAGAGACATTTCACTTGGCAATAGACTATGTTGATAGATTTCTCGCAAGTTTTCATGGTATCAGGTCACAAACGTTTCAGTTGGTTGGTACCGCGGCGTTATTTCTTGCGAGCAAGTACGAGGTATACTTATTTCCTTCTATTAGTAAGTTTTCACAGGCACAAGCTCGAGAAAATGGAAGCTACTATCTTGCTCTGAAATGTTTACTGTGTTGAAATGTTTGGAAAAAATTGATGGTAATGTTGTGTTTTGTAGAGGAAAGCACTTAGAAATTCGTTAAAAATTTAGTGACTCAATCTTTGGTAAGTTCAGGAAGCAGTAAATTAGATAAATCAATCTGAAAGAGTATTAGAGATCTATTACACTCTATTTTAATTCTTAAAAAATTGGTGAAAGGTCTCATCATGTCGAGGTAATCACTGCGCTTTGAGATGTTCTCTTCATTGTCTTTGTGAACAATCTGATTCAGCTTTTTTTTT